CCTTGCCATAGCGTGGATATTGCGTAAAAGTGTAGAAGGTAAGGAAGGTATAGTAGGTGTTTTTCGCGTACTTCCGCGAATCTTCGCGAATTTGTGGGTTGAAGGTGAAAAAAAAAAAGTATCGTGAGGAAATTCGTTGTGGGCAACGAAATTGACGAAGTTGACGAAGTTGAATTATCGTGATGAGCAACGGACTTCTCCAACGGCACTTGTCGTACGGAAGGGTATTTGGCTGCGAGGTCGATCGACGATAGCGTGATAGACGCCCTTATCAACGGCAACGTAGTTGCGGAAGAAAGGTTGACGATAATGCGGGTTGTGGAGGGCCGGCGATTTCGTGATTAGTACTGAAGGGATCCCGTGGTGAGGCGTCGCAATAGTCTCTTCTGTAATACCTTGCTGATCTGCAGTATATCGTAGTAGTGGTTACTGTGATTAGTGTTGGATTTATAGGTGGAAAAGGAAAATACTCGAGTATCGTGGGTAGTAACGATCACCGACTGTAGTGGTGATATTGCTTGTTCTTGTTGTTCTTTTGTGGAAGTCTAACCAGGTGCCAGCGGCGGCAGGAAGTCTGGGGTATACCACCCTCGTGTGGCTGAGCCACACGGACCACCGTGGCTGGAACGGACCGCGGCAGCAACCTCCTGCTGCCTAATGTAGGCCTATTCCAACAATAAGTAATCTAATAAAAAGTATAACTAATAAATACTAGTACTGAGTTTAACTCCTATCCTTTATTTAGTCTACTACTTAAGTTTTAAAATATAAGACCCTAAGATACTCATACTAGTACTAACTCTAAGATCCTTATATAATATCTACCTAAATACGTTCTAAATCCTCTTCCTAGAGCATATATATCACCTTACATAACCGACTACTCTGTATCCCACCCCATAAAATCAGTCTGCCTAACTAGATATGCTAATCGTCCTTCGTAACTAACGCCCTTACCTCCCCCTCCTCCTCCATCACCCTTTGCTTTACCCTCTCTACCCCGTCCGGGTCCGTTCGTACTATACCCTACCCGTATATCTCGAGTAGTCGCCCACCGTATGGGTAACTTCGGTCCGTCGCCCTACTATAATGCTCCCCCTCCTTATCCCGGCTATCCTAAGCCTTATATATCTCCTGCAGTAGCCCGTACTCGAAGTATGTAGAAAAGTCCTCTAGCCGCTTCTTCCTAAATATCTCCTAATGCGCTAGCTCGATACCCTTCTCGATATCCGCCCAGTCTTCCGCCCGTCCGCGCTCTCTATACTCCGCCGACCGGTGCTTGTGGGCCTGCTCTTGGTACTAGTAGTATATGCATTATTGACCCTATGTCCCTAGTAGTCTCCGGAATCTCTCTACTTGCTCCGCCTCCTTTATCCGCTCCTTTTTGAGCCTGCGCCGTATTATTGCCGTTTGCCGCTCGCCGTTTTCGAAAGCTCTTATGTACCCCTTGGGCACCGTCTCCTCCGCCGCTCCTTGCTCTAGTATACCGTCTATGTCCTCCGCCTACCTCCGCCGCTGGCACCTGTCGTACTGCGCCTCCCCCGCTTCGTACCATAACCGGTCCGTCCTTCCGTCTATTACCCGGTCGAGCACTACCCGCCGGCACTCGCTCGTTCGTATAAACTCGTCTGCTGGCCTGCTGTCTTGTCTGCCGCTGCCGCCTCGCCCTGGTCCTGCCGCTACTGCTGCCACCGCCCGGTAGACTACGACCGACCTACTTAGCCCTCCATCCCGCCCTACTCGACCGCTCTCTTATATAAAACGTAGAAGCTGCCGCGGCATATCCGCGTGTACTACTAGCCGTATGTCCGGTATATCGATGCCGAGCCCTAGCGCGTTCGTTGCGACCACTAGCCTACCCTTAGCCCCGCTACCCCGTCGCCATGCCGCTAGTCGATCCGCCTTGCCCTAGCTCGTATCGATATCGCTATAGAACCCCGGACATCCTAGCGCCGCATTTAACCGCTCTACCCTCTTTATCAATATAGCATAAATAATTACCTTACCTAGCTACCCGTTAGCGAGCTACCCTTCCGCGGCGCGGTAATATGCTTCGTTAATACTATTAAACTCCCTGCTCCCCTTCCCGCCCTAGCCGCGTCTGCCGGTGCGTTAAGACGAGCTCCGCCCGCCGTACCTATCTACCCTCATAATACTATACTCAATATTCCTCCTACTTGTCGGGGCCCGGAATAGTTACGTCTAGTTACGATCTATCCCCATAAGCCCGAAGAATACCTTCTTGTCGCCCGGCGTTAACGTAGCCGTTAAGCATACGATCTATACCCCGAACTCTCGTATCGCTGCGCTAGCCTTGTATAGCTTCGGCCGGAACGACCGGGTCCCCTCTAGTATAACGTGGTACTCGTTAACTACGACGCGGTCGAGCGCTTATCGTGACGTAAGCCGTGCTATGAAGTCCTAGAAGCCTTTATTAACGGCGGACTCGGGCGTAACGAAGATGATGGATGCGGCCTGGTTATTCTTATAGCTAAGCCATATATGGGACGCGATCCCTAATTTAGTATACCGCGCCTTTAAGTCGGTCCGAAGTGCGGTAAGTGGTGTAATAACTACCGTTATGCCGTCCGGTGAGTAGAACGCTGGTAGCATAAACGATAAACTCTTACCGCTACCCGTGCCCATTACCTGGATGATCGGGCTATGCCCGTTGACGATAGCCCCGACTACCTTCGCCTGGTTCCCGCGGAACGTCGCTGCGTCGTCCCCCGTCATCTGCCGTAGCCGGCCGGCCATGTCCGCCTGCTGTAGCCGTGCGAACCGCCGTAGCCGGGCCTCGAGACGGACGCCGTCGTAGAGCTCTACCTTTCGCTTCGAGCCGCTGCGGTAACCGTCGCTCGCCCGGTCCTCGTCCCCAAACCCCAAGAACCGATACTACTACGAGCTGACCTTACGAAACTGCTACTGCTTAGCCGCTACCCCGCTACCGAACTAGACTAATAGCCGCCTATAAATCATACCGGCGATCCGCGTCCCGTGCCCGGCTTATAGATCCTACGGGCTATTACCGAGCTCGTCTTCGTCCTCGTCGTCTCCCTTCTTCCCTAGATCCCACCGCCCGAACGCCTTGTGTAAGAATCGGTTAGCGATAGCGATAGTAATATACCGCTATATACTCACGTTCAGCTTATTACCGAGTAGCCGGCTGCTATGCCGTTATATAATTCGCCTGGCCCGGTCCGTCGTCCACGTCCGATCCTCTATCCAAGCCTACGCCGCCCTACCCTCGTCCCCGTCCTCGGCAGTATCGCCCGCGTTATCGACATCTATACTAGTTACCGTCGCCGCTCCTCCGCCGCTCCTCTTCTATATGACCTCGTCGGCCCATAAGAAAGCGCTATAGTAGTAGGCCTGCTTTATAATGCCTTCTACTTCCTACCAGAACGGAAGTACGAGCCATAAGTACTACATAAGTAGCTCGCCGGCCTCTCTTAGTAAATACCGGTGGATAATCTTAGTCTACCCGCTGCTCCGGTACCCTTTATGGTACGCCGTTACGAAACATATTATACCGTCGTGTATAAAGATGTTCCGTACCCCGCCGTTTACTGTATTAGCTACCCGTAAGCTACCCATCTCCGTCGCCCGTCCCGGCTGGCCCCCTAGTATATGCATCAGCAACCATAGCCGCTTGCGGAACTGCTCGAACGTATGCCCGTACTCGCGCACTACCTCCTCCCTGAACGCCCTGCTGCCCGACGTCGGTCCCTCTATACCCCACTGACGCCGCCGCGGTTGGGACCCCACGATACGCCGGAACACCCACCCGTCCCCTTCCCTCAGCCACGCGTTGCGGTCGTCGTATAGAAACGAGTAACCCTCTCGGGTCTCGCTATGGTCGTCCTCGATCGACGGCCAGTGAATACGCGGCAGCGCTTCGTCTAGACAGCTCCTCGCCTGGCTGCTGTCCGACACTGCGTCGCCCTGCTCGTCCCCGCCTGTGACCATCGTGAGCTGCGCTAATAGCAGCCTGGCCTCGTCGACGACGCCGTGGAGCATGTCCGATAACTGGTCCATGGTAAACCGTACGCGCCGATACGATATGCGGTCGCCTACCCAGTCGATTACGCCGTCTGCCGGCGTGTTATACTGTATGTGCATGCCATACGTCCGCGTCTCGAGAATCCAATCCATCGGTGTTGGCTCGGCTTGGGGGGCCCCGGGCGTACGCGTCATGAACCTCTGTACCATGCGACGGACGTAGACAAAGAGACTCTCTATGCCATCATCGGCCGCCCCCTCGTCCGTCGTAGCGGCCTGACGAGCGACATCGTATTGCCTCTACGTATATGCCTTATAAACGACTAACATACGTACTACTTTAATGATCGCCGAATACTTTGTTATATAGTCGGTAATATCCATCTAGCCACCGTCGGCCCGGATACCTATTATAGCGAGCGTGCTCACTATCGCGTTCTCGTACTACCCTCTCTTAAGCTGGTGGTCTAGCATGTTAACGAGCATTTTAAGTGCTACCGGCCGGAGCTTATCCGACGTAGTGTCGGAGTCCCCTTCTACTACGGCCTTGGCTAATTGTTCGAACTCGTCCTACGCATCGTACTACCTCTCGGTGAGCCGGTACGGCGGTCTCCTGTCGTCCGGTAGCTCCTACGTCCGGAACTACACATAGAGCAAGACCCTCTAGATATCTTTATACCGTACCTAAGTATCCTCCTCAATGCGGTTATTAAACGGCCTCGTGGGCTTAATATATGCTTCCTTCCGCTAGACCTCGAATAATACGGCGTGCCCGACCTTATTAGGCGTAGATATGGCCCTGGCGTACTCTAAGACCTTGTTGACCGAAGTCCATATCACATGGAGCACGTCCTCCACGGCCTCCTGGATTAGGCCGGTGGTTTCGTAGAGCTGGCTGATGCGTAGTCCACTTAGATGCTCTGCCCATCCTACCCGCTGGAGCCACGGGTTCGGCTCGAGCTTGTCGTTGGTAGCACGGATAAGATCGTCATGGCTCGCCTTAACCTGCTCGGCTTGGTTCTGCCGTAGTTGACGGAGTAGCTCGGTGGCCTGCCGTGACGCTGCCTCCTCGGCGACCGCCTCCGGCGCTTGGTCTAGCGGTTGGCCACGCCCTACCTCGAACTATTCGCTCCTAGCCCGTGATAGGAAGAACCGCTGGTATAGTATACCGGACGTCCACGGTATGCTACGTTCCTAATAAGATCTCGCCCTTACGTTACCGCCCTTCTTCTAGTCGTTTACCCACCCGTGATGTCTTCGGCAGTGATCCTGGATCCTTTAAGTTTGGCGATAAATATAGGAGTATCGGTGATATCGGATACTGTCCGTGCGTGGGTCGGCAAGATGGTCGATGGGGGCTGTTGATGGGTCGGGATACTGCAGCTGCGCAAGACTGGCCTGGTTCGTACGTATGCCCATTATACTAGAGATGGCCTTGACGATGCTACTACGGGTCGACGGTGGGATATGGCGGTGGCGTGTCCGTAGGTGGGTGGCTAACTCGTCACTAACCACAGCAAACTGACATGTTTTACAAATAGCGAGTGCATACTCTTCATAAAAGATAAACGACTCCATTACTAGCGTAATTACGATAGTCTTGGGCCGTGGTGGTTGTGGGCTACTACCGAGATAAGTGGTGTTAGTCTTACATATTGGTGGATTGATGTTGACTGTGGTTGAGTTAAGATGTTGTTGGACGGGCAACTATCTTAACCACAGCATTAAACTAGACATGGGCGCTATCTCCTCATTCGGTAGCTGCAGCGCATTCCTTATCTCGTTTAACTATACTAAACTGCTTACCACAAAGGAAACGCTAGGTAGAAATACTATAATTGGCTGCTGCCTCAGTGAGCATAGCAAGGTTATGTAATGATAGCTCTAGCGTTGATTGGTGCACTGATGCACGAGCCATCTTCACCCCATCAAATCGGCAAACACGAATCTATACAAATAGAGATAAATATTGGGTTATGAATAAAGATAAGATAAGTTCTGAACTCGCCTGATTGCCAGCTTTCGATGCATATCTATATGGTCTATTTTAGCTAAGGAAACCTCTACCAACTCTACCCCTATAATCTCTATCAACTCTACACCCTAGTATTCACGCCCCATAATTATTTTCTATGGCGTTTTCTATGAACTCTACTATAGTTCGTCGTGTCCTAGAGGTTAGGTGTTACGAGCTGGACAAGGCAACCAACTGTGGCACAAAGCAAAAGCTTCGATAATGATGACTCCGGTCATCATTGTCCCTTGTTCTGCATATATAGCTACGCGCCCACAGTGACAAGTTGCGACGGGCGTAACATTAGGCTTACCGAGATGGATGAGGTCGGCATGCTTTATGATGTTATAGGCATGATGAACGTATGCTACAGAATGCAGATTCTATGGTTATGCATGGAGGGGTTATAGTATACTAGTCGCTGAATCAAACGGCCAAATACAAACTCGTTAAACATATGCGATTTGAGATCTTGACTGCTCTTAGCCTTTACTAGACGTCTAGCTTTGGTAGTGATGCTGTTCAAAGGTTCGACGCACGAGCCATCTGAGTAACGGCCACCCTACCGATCATTGGTGCAGCCATGCACGAGCCATCTTGACCCTATCAAACCGTCAATCACGAATCTATACATATAGAGGTGAATACTGGGTTTATAATAAAGGTAAGATCATTTCTGAGCTCGCCTAATTCTCAGCTTTCGATGCATGTCTATATCGTCTATTTTAGATAAGAAAACCTCAATGAAGCTGACCCCCTGTCGTTTCAATGAATCTGACCCCTTGTCTTTAGGGACCCATTTCTATTTCTATGGGCATTTCAATGAATCTGAGTCGGATTCATCGTTGTCTGTATGTTAGGCCTTGCGCCGGAGCGCCCGCTCCGCCGGGATAATCCACGCGATATACGTTATTACTATCTACCCGATCACGTCGGGGACGAACCGGGCTACCTTGCGCGAGTTATCCCGGATCGCCTTCATCTTATCTCGGTCCGTCACGATCATCACCTACCCATCGAGCACGAAGATATTACGGATGAGCTACCACGAGTCGCAGTGCCGCAGCGTCGCCACCTCGGGCCCTCGGCCGGGCAGCCCGCCCCATACATAAACGAGCACCATCAGTACCTCCCGGAACATCTTCAGCCGTCGCAGCCACTACCGAACCCCCTCTCGCTTGACCTATTACTTTCTCGGGTCCCATATCGACGCCCCGAGCTGCCTCATCACCACCGCCGGTCCGGGCTCTAGCCAGTCGTTCTCCGCCTTCGTTACGAATAACTGGCCAGCCCCGAGCCGCACTATACTATCGACGAGCCGTCCTAGCTTAATACGCATCTTAACTAGCTCCCAGTCCCCCCCGCACAGTGCACCGAGTAGCTTCCGTACGTCGACGACCTGGTCCCGGAGCGCCCGCGTAAAGTCCCGGATAACGATATGCTCGCCGTTATAGAATAGCGACTCGCCGTTATCCGCTTAACGTACCGATAGCTACCCGCCTATCCGTATCCGCCAGCCTTTCCCGAGCGCTATCTATCCGATGATGGTGCTAGCGATTATATGCGTGCCTATATATATCTAAGCGGTATATTGGTCCCGGAATGTAAGGACTGCCGGAACCCCGACCTCGTCCTAGTCCCGTGGCTGGTCCTCGAACGCCGCCTCTAAGAAGAAGAGCCGGCACCACTATAAGATGGCTGCCAGTATGCCCGTATATAAGTACGGCTCGGTATACCCGAGCGGACGAGATCGGATCCCTAGCGCTGCATAAAAGCATAGCAGCGAGCTTGCGTATACGTGCCCGCCGACCCGGGTCTTGATCGAGAATTCGCCCTCCTAGCCATATATAAAACGTATCCTAACCCTTTCTTCTATCTTCTATAATCTGCACCCCTTTAGCAGCTATCTGCTCCTCGAATACGCCGCTCTATACCACCTCTAGAAGTCTTATTATACTGGCCGTAAATACTTCTATTAGTATACTTCCTAGTTGGTACGCTTATCCCTCTACCTAGTGAAACCGCCCGCCGTCCTCTACCTCGCCTTCCCACCGCTTACAAAACTCCTATAATAACCCGCAGTAAAAGTAGCCGGAGAATAGCTCGAGACGCCTCCTACCGAATATCTCCCGCTCGGTAGTCCTTATACCTTACTATACCCGTATCCACTCCGTCTCTGCCCTCCTCGGGTATCTAGCAAACGTATACCTCTCGTCGTCCCTTACCCCGAAATATAATACGTACCTCTTACGTCGCCCGTGAAGCTGCGCGAGAAATACTTCTATTTTGCTAGCCTTGCCTATCTTCTCTACCCTAACTCTCTATTGGTCTAGCTTTACATACCTATCTAGCATATGGAACGCTGCCCGGCCTCCTTTATTATCTTCTACTATACTGTCCTTGCTATTATAGCCGAGAACGAACCTTAATCTTAACCCTGGATCGCCCCCGCGGTAGACGTCGTATACTTCTTCGTCCTCTTTATAACTAGAACGGTTACTTCTCCCGTTTATTATTCGGTCGAGAACGACCCGTCTATATTCGTCGCCGGCGAGATACTCTTCTATTGCCGCCTCCTGTTACGATCCGCTGCTGTTGCCGCTGCGGCGTACTACGACTAATGTACTCGGCTGCCCGTCGCGCCCCGCTCGCCCGCTCTCCTGCACGAATCGGCGGAGTCCCGTTGGTATATCGGCGTGGATCACGAGCCGTACGTCCGGGATATCGATGCCCAGTCCTAATGCGTTCGTCGCCACTACGATGCCCTCGGCCCCGTTGCTTTGACGCCACGCCTCGAGCCGAGCCGTCTTGCCCTCTATCGAGTCGACGTCGCTGAAGAACGTGGCGCACCCCAGCACTGATCCTAAACGCTCTACCCGCTCGATTGACGTGGCGTATACTACCGCCTTGCCTCGCCCGCCGCTGGCCAGAAGCTCACGTACCTACTGGACTGCTACCCGGCATACCTCGGCCTCAACCGTGTCAAGTGTCTTGAGCGCCGCGTCATCTTCGTCTTGTTCTGCGCCACCGTCGTCCTCGTCACTGATCCTGTCGCTTGTTATGACGACGGAATATCCTATGTTCTTGCGCGTCGTTGCTGTTCGGAACATGCTTACACGACTTGCCTCTAGTCGCATCGCGTGGAAGAATACTACTTCGTCCTTTAGCGTAAGCGTCGCTATTAAGTATATCGTTTATATACCGAACTTGCGAATCGCCTCCCCGAGCTCGCTAAGCCGTGGCCGGAAGTTCTGTAAACCCTTTAGTATGATATAGTACTCGTTTATAATGATGCGGTCTAGCGCCTGCCTCCTTTCTAGCCGTACGATAAAGTCTCTAAACCCCTTTATAACGGCTGACTCGACCGTGACGAAGATGATGGACGCCGCCTGGTTGTTCTTCCGGCTCTGCTATACGTGCGATGTGATCCCCGCCTTGACGTATCGCCTGTGCAGATCCGTCCGCAGCGCTACCAGCGGCGTCACAACCACCGTCACCCCGTCCGGCGAGCAGAACGCCGGCAACATGAACGAGACGCTCTTGCCGCCGCCCGTCCCTATTACCTACACGATCGGCGTGTACCCGCTGGCGATGGCGAGCACCGCTTCTCTCTGGTTTCCGCGGAACCCCGCCGAGTCGTCCCCGTCATCTACCGTAGCTGGCCCTCTAAGTCTATCCTCCTTAGCTTCTCGAACCGTCGGAGCCTCGCCTCGAGCCGTGGCCCTTCGTATGCCTCCGTCTTTTTCCTCTTATATCCCGCGGAGTCCTATTTCGACTCCGAATCCTCGGCGCCGAACCTTAAAAACCTATATTACTAACGGCTAACTCTACGGAACTATTATTACCTCGCCGCGAGACCACTACCGAACTATATAAGCTCTCGTACGTAGATCATGCCTACTAGCCGCGTACTATATCCCGCCTATAAGTCCTACGGGCTATCCTCGACCTCGTCTATTCCCTCGTCCGACCCCAAGCCTTCGTCGTCTCCACCCGGCCGGCCAAACGACTCGTTCAAGTAGCGGTTAGCAATACCGATGGCTATATACTGCCATATACTTACGTTAACTTAGTATCCTAGCAGCCTTATATTAGTGCGCTGTATAATCCGCCGCGCCCTATCTGTCGTCTACGTTCGCTTATCTTTCTACGTCTAGTCGCCTACGTATGTGCTCTTATCCCCTGCCTCGTCTGTATTTATACTGCGATTGTTGCTATCCCTGACGTTTGTGTTATCCCTCCGTTCTTCCAACACTGCTGCCGTCCTGCTTTCTTCCGGGTCCATCTGCCGAATAATGTCGTCTGCCCATAAGAACGCGCTGTATCCGCTGGCCTCGTACATGATGCCCTGCACCTCCTGCCAGAATGGCAAGATGAGCCACAGATACCATATGACGAGCTCGCCGACCTCCCTCGGCAGATAGCGGTGGATCACCTTCGCCTGGCCTGTCGTCCGGTACCCTTTATAGTACGCCGTAACGAAGCATAATATTTATTATATACTAATATGTTGCGGACGCTCCTGTTGACCGTATTGACCGTCTGTAGACCTACAAGCTCGCTCGCCCGCACCGGCTGCCCGCTAAGCATATGTAGAAGTATCTATAGTCGCTCGCGGAGTCGTTCAAATGTCCTCTCGAACTCCTGCATAGCTGACGGCTAGAACGGTCGGTCTATTGACCTATAATCGTTATTTATGCTGCTCAGTCCCCAGCGCTCTGCTGCGGCGGGTAACTGCGCCAGCCGTATAAACAGCCAGCCGTCCCCGCTAGAAACCTAACTATTACGGTCGTCGGTAAGAAATGAGTAGCCCGGCTTCGTCTCGCTGTGGTCGTCTTCGATCGATGACCATGGGATGGCTGGTAGCTGGGACCGCACGTTACTTTCGGGACCGTCTGGTAAACCTGAATCCTCCGTCGCCGTCAGCTCTACGAGTAGCTCCCGCGTCTCTCGGACCAGCTCGTACAGTGCGTCTGACAGCTGCCCCATCGTGAACCGTACCCGTCTATATAACACGCGATCGCCCACCCAGTCCATGACACCCGCCGCTGCTGTGTTGTATTGGATATGCATCCCGTACGTCCACGTCTCGAGAATCCAGTCCATCGGCGTCGGCTCTGCGTCCTTCTCGCCCGTCGTACGCGTCATGAACCGCCGTATCTTTACCCACATATACTAGAACAAGCTCTGCGCCGCCTTCTCTACTTCATCCTTCCCTAGAGATCTTTCTAGCTCGGTAACCTTATTATACCGCTCGGTATAACGTACTTGATAAGCGAGCTGCCCAGACAAGCGAGCTGCCCACCCAACCGCGTTCATCCTTCCTCCTCACTTCTAATGCGTATCACGCCACGAATAATCATGTCGTCACAAAGCAAAGAGGCCCAATTGAACTTAGCAGTCAAGGCTATCCAAAAAAACCCTAAACTCAGCATTCGAGCCGCAGCAAGAATCTATTCAGTCCCCCCTAGGACCCTAGGCACCCGATTAAAAGGGACACCTACACGACAAGATACTATACCTAACTCACGTAAATTGACGGAGCTTGAAGAGGAGAAGCTAGTTGAGTATATCCTCGACCTAGATTCCCGATCGTTTCCTCCCCGGATCAGTGGTGTGGAAGAAATGGCCAATCGATTGCTCGCCGACCGCGACGCGCCCCCAGTTGGGAAGCGCTGGGCTTCAAACTTCGTTAAACGACAACCACAGCTCCGGACGCGCTTTTTTCGCAAGTACGACTATAAGAGGGGCCAATGCGAAGATCCAGACGCGATAAACGCGTGGTTTCGGCTTGTAGCGAACATAATCGCGAAATACGGCATTATAGACTCCGATATCTACAACTTCGACGAGACTGGGTTTATGATGGGCCAGATTGCATCCGGGATGGTCGTTACGAGTGCCGAAAGGCGTTCAAATACAAAAATGATGCAGCCTGGCAATCGTGAATGGGTTACAGTCATTCAGGCCATCAGTTCGTCAGGCTACAGCGTTCCGCCGTACATCATCGTTGCAGGCCAATATCACCTCTCCACCTGGTATATAGAAACAGATCTCCCACGCGACTGGGTCATCGCAACGTCTGAAAACGGATGGACAACAAATGAAAGAGGCCTAGACTGGCTCCAGCACTTTGATCGGCATACAAAACCGCGTACAACTAGCAGTTATCGCCTCCTCGTCGTCGATGGGCACGAAAGTCACCACTCTGCGGACTTTGAGATATATTGTAAGGAAAACAATATCGTCACACTCTGCATGCCGGCCCATTCGTCTCATCTACTTCAGCCCTTAGACGTTGGGTGTTTTGGGCCACTAAAGACGGCTTATGGTCGACAAATTGAGGATAAGATGCGCCGGGGTAATACCCATATTACGAAGGAGGACTTCTTCCCTGCATTTCACAACGCTTTCACGCAAACCCTAACGGTAAAAAACATCCAGGGAGGCTTCAGAGGGGCCGGGCTTGTTCCTTTGAGTGCCGAAAGTGTACTTTCGAAGCTTGATGTCAAGTTACACACTCCAACACCCCCAGGGTCCCTACCAACAACACCCCCCGCGTGGACTTCTCAGACGCCAAATAACCCAACAGAGGCCTCTTCTCAGTCCGAACTCATCAAAAGGAGGATCTCCCGCCATCAAAATAGCTCCCCAACTTCAATTATTGAAGCTGTAGAGCATTTATCAAAGGGAGCGCGGGGATTTATGCACCAGATTGCCTTATTAAGGTCGGAGGTCCAGATCCTCCGGGAGGAAAATAACCTACTTAGCCGACGCAGGAGGGCTAAGAAAACACGTCTCAGACAAGGAGGAAGTCTTACTGTAGCTGAGGCAGAGGACATTCAGTCGCAGAGAGAGGCTACGGCCCAGATTGAGGAGGAAACGCGCCAGAGTAGTGGTCGTCGGCCGAGGACAGAAACAGGTCGACGGCGATGTGGCGTCTGCGGAAACACTGGCCATAATGCGCGAACATGTCAGTTTAATGAAGAAATATCTGAGGAATAGGATTCAGAGTAGTTTCAATTGATTTTATGTTTTTAATGTTGCTCCTTAGACAGATTTATAATGTGATCATGGTTAGGTGGGCAGCTCGCTTGTCTGGGCAGCTCGCTTATCAAGTACGTTATACCTAATAAATCACTAGCATATACGCTACCTTAATAACGGCTAAGTACTTTATTATATAGTCTATAATCTAAACCTAGCCGCTATCCTCGGTAATGCCTATTACCGCGAGTATGCTAAAAAAAAGCACTACTATAATCTCCGCCCTTCAGCTAGTAGTCCAGTATGCTGATGAGTATATTAAACGCTGTGCGTTCTAGCTTCTCCGGCGTTTGGTGCCCCGTCCCCGTGCTAGCTACTTCCGCTATCTGCTCGAACGAGTCCCACGCTTCTCCCTATAACGACGTTAGTTTATACGGTAGCCGCTTGTCGTCGTCCATTAAACCCTTATTACCTTCTTTAATAATCCTTATTCTTATTATATTTCTAGAAATACCCTACTATTTGAATACTGTTTATGACCCCTCTTAACTCTAACTATCTCTATTACCTTTATCCTCTTTTCTACTATTTCTTTACTTTTTTATAATCTTTATAAGTAATCTAATAAAAAGTATAACTAATAAATACTAGTACTGAGTTTAACTCCTATCCTCTATTTAGTCTACTACTTAAGTTTTAAAATATAAGACCCTAAGATACTCATACTAGTACTAACCCTAAGATCCTTATATAATATCTACCTAAATACGTTCTAAATCCTCTTCCTAGAGCATATATATCACCTTACATAACCGACTACTCTGTATCCCACCCCATAAAATCAGTCTGCCTAACTAGATATGCTAATCGTCCTTCGTAACTAACGCCCTTACCTCCCCCTCCTCCTCCATCACCCTTTGCTTTACCCTCTCTACCCCGTCCGGGTCCGTTCGTACTATACCCTACCCGTATATCTCGAGTAGTCGCCCACCGTATAGGTAACTTCGGTCCGTCGCCCTACTATAACGCTCCCCCTCCTTATCCCGGCTATCCTAAGCCTTATATATCTCCTATAGTAGCCCGTACTCGAAGTACGTAGAAAAGTCCTCTAGCCGCTTCTTCCTAAATATCTCCTGATGCGCTAGCTCGATACCCTTCTCGATATCCGCCTAGTCTTCCGCCCGTCTGCGCTCTCTATACTCCGCCGACCGGTGCTCGTGGGCCTGCTCTTGGTACTAGTAGTATATGTACTATTGACCCTATGTCCCTAGTAGTCTCCGGAATCTCTCCACTTACTCCGCCTCCCTTATCCGCTCCTTCTCGAGCCCGCGCCGTATTATTACCGTCTACCGCTCGCCGTCCTAAAAGCTCTTATATACCCCTCGGGCACCGTCTCCTCCGCCGCTCCTTACTCTAGTATACCGTCTATATCCTCCGCCTACCTCCGCCGCTGGCACCTATCGTACTGGCCTCCCCCTCTTCGCACTATAACCGGTCCGTCCTTCTATTATCACCCGGTCGAGCACTACCCGCCGGCACTCGCTCGTTCGTATAAACTCGTCTACTAGCCTCTGTCTTATCTGCCGCTACCGCCTCGCCCTAGTCCTGCCGCTACTACTACCGCCGCCCGGCAGACTACGACCGACCTACTTAGCCCTCCGTCCCGCCCTACTCGACTACTCTCTTATATAAAACGTAAAGCTACCGCGGCATATCCGCGTATACTACTAGCCGTACGTCCGGTATATCGATACCGAGCCCTATACATTCGTTACGACCACCAGCCCACCCTTAGCCCCGCTACCCCGTCGCCATACCGCCAGTCGATCCGCCTTGCCCTAGCTCGTATCGATGTCGCTATAGAACCCCGGATATCCTAGCGCCGCGCTTAACCGCTCTACCCTCTTTATCGATATGGCATAGATAATTACCTTACCCGGCTGCCCGTTAGCGAGCTACCCTTCCGCGGCGCGGTAAATACTTCGTTAATATTATTAAACTCCCTGCTCCCCTTCCCGCCCTGGCCGCGTCTGCCGGTGCGTTAAGACGAGCTCCGCCCGCCGTGCCTATCTACCCTTACGATGCTATACTTAATATTCCTCCTACTTATCGGGGCCCGGAATAGTTGCGTCCGGTTACGATCTATCCCTATAAGCCCGAAGAATGCCTTCTCGTCGCCCGGCGCTAACGTGGCCGTTAAGTATACGATCTGTACCCCGAACTCTCGTATCGCTACGTTAACCTCGCATAGCTTCGGCCGGAACGACCGGGTCCCCTCTAGTATAACGTGGCATTCGTTAACTACGACGCGGTCGAGCGCTTATCGTGACGTAAGCCGTACTATAAAGTCCTGGAAGCCTTTATTGACGGCGGACTCGGGCATAACGAAGATAATGGATGCGGCCTGGTTGTTCTTATGGCTAAGCTATATATGGGAGGCGATCCCTAATTTAGTATACCGCGCCTCTAAGTCGGTCCGAAGCGCGGTAAGTGGTATAATAACTACCGTTACGCCGTCCGGTGAGCAGAACGCTGATAGCATAAACGATAAACTCTTACCGCTGCCCGTGCCCATTACCTGGATGATCGGGCTATGCCCGTTGACGATAGCCCCGACTACCTTCGCCTGGTTCCCGCGGAACGTCGCTGCGTCGTCCCCCGTCATCTGCCGTAGCCGGCCGGCCATGTCCGCCTGCTGTAGCCGTGCGAACCGCCGTAGCCGGGCCTCGAGACGGACGCCGTCGTAGAGCTCTACCTTTCGCTTCGAGCCGCTGCGGTAACCGTCGCTCGCCCGGTCCTCGTCCCCAAACCCCAAGAACCGATGCCACTGCGAGCTGACCTTACGAAACTGCTGCTGCTTAGCCGCTACCCCGCTACCGAACTGGACTAGTAGCCGCCCATAGATCATACCGGCGATCCGCGTCCCGTGCCCGGCTTGTAGATCCCACGGGCTATCACCGAGCTCGTCTTCGTCCTCGTCGTCTCCCTTCTTCCCTGGATCCCACCGCCCGAACGCCTCGTGTAAGAATCGGTTGGCGATAGCGATGGCAATATGCCGCCACATACTCACGTTCAGCTTGTTACCGAGTAGCCGGCTGCTGTGCCGTTGTATAATTCGCCTGGCCCGGTCCGTCGTCCACGTCCGATCCTCTATCCAAGCCCACGCCGCCCTACCCTCGTCCCCGTCCTCGGCAGTATCGCCCGCGTTATCGACATCTATGCTGGTTACCGTCGCCGCTCCTCCGCCGCTCCTCTTCTATGTGACCTCGTCGGCCCATAAGAAAGCGCTATAGTGGTGGGCCTGCTTCGTGATGCCTTCTGCTTCCTGCCAGAACGGAAGTACGAGCTATAAGTACCACACAAGTAGCTCGCCGGCCTCTCTCGGTAAATACCGGTGGATAATCTTAGTCTGCCCGCTGCTCCGGTACCCTTTATGGTACGCCGTTACGAAATATATTATACCGTCGTGTATAAAGATGTTCCGTACCCCGCTGTTTACCGTATTAGCTACCCGTAAGCTACCCATCTCCGTCGCCCGTCCCGGCTGGCCCCCTAGCATATGCATTAGCAACCATAGCCGCTCGCGGAACTGCTCGAACGTATGCCCGTACTCGCGCACTACCTCCTCCCTGAACGCCCTGCTGCCCGACGTCGGTCCCTCTATACCCCACTGACGCCGCCGCGGTTGGGACCCCACGATACGCCGGAACACCCACCCGTCCCCTTCCCTCAGCCACGCGTTGCGGTCGTCGTATAGAAACGAGTAACCCTCTCGGGTCTCGCTATGGTCGTCCTCGATCGACGGCCAGTGAATACGCGGCAGCGCTTCGTCTAGACAGCTCCTCGCCTGGCTGCTGTCCGACACTGCGTCGCCCTGCTCGTCCCCGCCTGTGACCATCGTGAGCTGCGCTAATAGCAGCCTGGCCTCGTCGACGACGCCGTGGAGCATGTCCGATAACTGGTCCATGGTAAACCGTACGCGCCGATACGATATGCGGTCGCCTACCCAGTCGATTACGCCGTCTGCCGGCGTGTTATACTGTATGTGCATGCCATACGTCCGCGTCTCGAGAATCCAATCCATCGGTGTTGGCTCGGCTTGGGGGGCCCCGGGCGTACGCGTCATGAACCTCTGTACCATGCGACGGACGTAGACAAAGAGACTCTCTATGCCATCATCGGCCGCCCCCTCGTCCGTCGTAGCGGCCTGACGAGCGACATCGTATTGCCTCTGCGTATATGCCTTATAAACGACTAACATACGTGCTACTTTAATGATCGCCGAATACTTTGTTGTATAGTCGGTAATATCCATCTAGCCACCGTCGGCCCGGATGCCTATTATAGCGAGCGTGCTCACTATCGCGTTCTCGTACTGCCCTCTCTTAAGCTGGTGGTCCAGCATGCTAACGAGCATTTTAAGTGCTACCGGCCGGAGCGTATCCGACGTAGTTCGGAGTCCCCTTCTACCACGGCCTTGGCTAATTGTTCGAACTCGTCCTACGCATCGTACTGCCTCTCGGTGAGCCGGTACGGCGGTCTCCTGTCGTCCGGTAGCTCCTACGTCCGGAACCACACATAGAGCAAGACCCTCTAGACATCTTTATACCGTACCTAAGTATCCTCCTCAATGCGGTTATTAAACGGCCTCGTGGGCTTAATATATGCTTCCTTCCGCTAGACCTCGAATAATACGGCGTGCCCGACCTTATTAGGCGTAGATATGGCCCTGGCGTACTCCAAGACCTCGTTGACCGAAGTCCACATCACATGGAGCACGTCCTCCACGGCCTCCTGGATTAGGCCGGTGGTTTCGTAGAGCTGGCTGATGCGTAGTCCACTTAGATGCTCTGCCCATCCTACCCGCTGGAGCCACGGGTTCGGCTCGAGCTTGTCGTTGGTAGCACGGATGAGATCGTCATAGCTCGCCTTGACCTGCTCGGCTTAGTTCTGCCGTAGTTGACGGAGTAGCTCGGTAGCCTGCCGTGACGCTACCTCCTCGGCGACCGCCTCCGGCGCTTGGTCTAGCGGTTGGCCACGCCCTACCTCGAACTATTGGCTCCTAGCCCGTGATAAGAAGAACCGCTAGTATAGTATACCGGACGTCCACGGTATACTACGTTCCTAATAAGATCTCGCCCTTATGTTACCGCCCTTCTTCTAATCGTTCACCCACCCGTGATGTCTTCGGCAATGATCCTGGATCCTTTAAGTTTGGCAATAAACATAGGAGTATCGGTGATATCGGATACCGTCCGTACGTAGGTCGGCAAGATGGTCGATGGGGCTATTGATGGGTCGGGATACTGCAGCTGCGCAAGACTGGCCTGGTTCGTACGTATGCCCATTATACTAGAGATGGCCTTGACGATGCTACTACGGGTCGACGGTGGGATATGGCGGTGGCGTGTCCGTAGGTGGGTGGCTAACTCGTCACTAACCACAGCAAACTGACATGTTTTACAAATAGCGAGTGCATACTCTTCATAAAAGATAAACGGCTCCATTACTAGCGTAATTACGATAGTCTTGGGCCGTGGTAGTTGTGGGCTACTACCGAGATAAGTGGTGTTAGTCTTACATATTGGTGGATTGATGTTGACTGTGGTTGAGTTAAGATGCTGTTGGACGGGCAACTATCTTAACCACAGCATTAAACTGGACATGGGCGCTATCTCCTCATTCGGTAGCTGCAGCGCATTCCTTATCTCGTTTAACTATACTAAACGCTTACCACAAAGGAAACGCTAGGTAGAAATACTATGATTGGCTGCTGCCTCAGTGAGCATAGCAAGGTTATGTGATGATAGCTCTAGCGTTGATTGGTGCACTGATGCACGAGCCATCTTCACCCCATCAAATCGGCAAACACGAATCTATACAAATAGAGATAAATATTGGGTTATGAATAAAGATAAGATAAGTTCTGAACTCGCCTGATTGCCAGCTTTCGATGCATATCTATATCGTCTATTTTAGCTAAGGAAACCTCTACCAACTCTACCCCTATAATCTCTATCAACTCTACACCCTAGTATTCACGCCCCATAATTATTTTCTATGGCGTTTTCTATGAACTCTACTACAGTTCGTCGTGTCCTAGAGGTTAGGCTTACCGAGATGGATGAGGTCGGCATGCTTTATGATGTTATAGGCATGATGAACGTATGCTACAGAATGCAGATTCTATGGTTATGTATGGAGGGGTTATAGTATACTAGTTGCTGAATCAAACGGCCAAATACAAACTCGTTAAACATATGCGATTTGAGATCTTGACTGCTCTTAGCCTTTACTAGACGTCTAGCTTTGGTAGTGATGCTGTTCAAAGGTTCGACGCACGAGCCATCTGAGTAACGGCCACCCTACCGATCATTGGTGCAGCCATGCACGAGCCATCTTGACCCTATCAAACCGTCAATCACGAATCTATACATATAGAGGTGAATACTGGGTTTATAATAAAGGTAAGATCATTTCTGAGCTCGCCTAATTCTCAGCTTTCGATGCATGTCTATATCGTCTATTTTAGATAAGAAAAACTCAATGAAGCTGACCCCCTGTCGTTTCAATGAATCTGACCCCTTGTTTTTAGGGACCCATTTCTATTTCTATGGGCATTTCAATGAATCTGAGTCGGATTCATCGTTGTCTGTATGTTAGGGTGGAAGCTCTTAGAGGCCAACTGCGGTTAGGGGTAACATGATGGATTACTGAAATCTGCTCCTCCCTCGACGTGCACTCCCCGCGCTGTATATCTATCTGAGTTGCTCCTTTGTTACTTGGACTCCTTACTACCTCTAACTGGCCCTTACCCGGGAGGGCTCTGACACTTCCACTCTATATAAAAACACTACTTCTACTTAATCCTCTTCGCCATCAACCTGTCAGCCAGCATCCCAATAGCACGGCATTTTGTGTCTGGGTTTTACCTGGACCTTTCTTCCCGAGCCCTTGCATCTCGCACTGACTCTACTTTAAATACATCTCCATGTCATCGATTTCATTCATACTTTGTTTACTTCGCTTTCCATGTCCCTTTATTATATTATGCATATTCGTAACTGAATACATACCGGATGAAAACTAGATCCTACTAAAGCCCTATTTATATCATCTTCTCCGTTAAGGGACCGCTAGAGGGAGGTAGTAATCGTAGGGTTAGCTATCTTTACTACGTAGTAGCAGAGATAATAGCAACCATATTGTCTAGGTAGGCCGCCCGCTCGCATATGACGAGATGGTCCGTACTTACATACCCTATCTTTCAACGACCATCAAAAAACCGACCGAAAAGCAGACTGGCTTCAAAGCGACCGTACTTACATATAAACGTATTACTGTTGACATCAATCGGCTCGTAGTTGATCCTTTGACAAGCTTACCTGTTTTGAACTCACCGCGACACGTGTAGCGCCCAGACCGCTAATCGTCGGCAGACGTTGATCCCAATCGTCGCAACCCCCATGACCTGCTAGCGCCGAAATTTCTCCCATACAAATTTAATCGTCGGCAGGCTATCGACGTAAACAATGATTGTTAGGCGTAGGAAGACGCTGACCCTAAGCGGTAGGCAGCACCTTATTGATCAAAGGAGTAATAATAACGAAACTCTGTTATAGATAATTAGAATTACTATGTTCTATAGCTAACTAATCTGAGCGGCAGAGGAAGGTTCCTCGATGTAGTTTTTTACCTGGCCTCACCCGTAGATAATACTAGTACAACGATCTACCCAAATCTTGTCCTGGCTATGGAAGACCATACTAATGAAGTCGTCCGGCCGTTTTATAATAGTGCGCAGCTCTCGGAAGAGAACGAGGAGTTCGTCTCGTAGACGGAGCTATAAGTCCGTATTTCGCGGGCTATCCTATTAGCTCTTAGACGTTACCTAGCCCAGTTCTCGGAGCATGCGGTTACTGCAACCCTTGTGCTCTAGCGCCGTATCAGTCTTGAACACCGGATCGAAGGCTTGTTAGCACGTACCGATTTTCTTTGTCATTTCGGCGATATCGTACGCCGTGCCGCTCGCGCTCTTTGCCCACGGGAAGGACGCCGGGTAAAGGAACTACATCATATACGTGACCATGACGAGGGCAAGCTACGCCGGGCTCTTCCGCTTCGGGGCCGCGCTAAAGGTCCGGGCACCGGGCGCGACCTCGGGCGTCTCGGATAAGGAGCAGACGGTCAGGACAATTATGAGCATCAAATGGTAGAACGTATCGTCGATATTATTAGCGAGGCAGTTTATAGCGAGCTAGTAGTGGTCGAGCATTTTGGCGTCTCCCTTGTTAGAGAAGATGGATTTCGCCTGACTAAAGCCGGATAGTACGAGTCCGGGAATGTTGGTGAAGGGTACCGGACAGCCGAAGTCGATGCGTAGATGGCGCTCCCGACGCTCGGCCCGGTCTCTTAATGTCTTCTCGTGCTTGATCTTTGCCTCCTACGCCGCCCGCTATAGCGATCCGGGTACGCTAGTCGGGGCCGAGGTGGCACCGGCCTTATCCCCGAGCTATATAATACTTCTCGAGGTAAGCCGGCTGCGGAACGGACCCGGCACCTACTCGATACCGGCGATAAGAAAGCAGCCCGTGAAGACGGCCTCCTACGTCGCCGTATTAACACTACCGCCCAGGGACGCGCGACCGTTGGCGATGGTAAAGTGCAGCGTCGACGGCCACGTTACGTTCTTAGCCGCGAACGAATCTCTACCGGCGTCACCGCCAACAACCCGCAATAGCTCCGATATAAAGTCCTGCCGTGCGCGCTGGGCCGAGACCGAGATGGCCGCGCGCTCGCCGCCGGGCCTCAGGCCGCGACAGAGCCGCTGGAGAGCCTTCCAGGTGAATGCGTCACCGGCTGCGTCCCAGTCCGTCAGGGCCTGCTCGCACGCCGCGACGGATTCCATCGTGATGGGCACGCCCGCGTCGCCGGTTCTGCCGCCGCCGCCCTCGTGAAGGCGGCGCCTGAGCTGCTGCACCATGAAGGCCTTGGTTTGCGGCACCCACAGCTCGCGGACGAGCTCCTCGGCAAAGGCAGCGACGGCCGTCTTGCTTGTGAACGCGGCGTTGCCCAGCTGCGCGAACCAGACGGCGCTCTTGCGGGACGACGCTACCCGGGCGCCGTAGTAGTGGCGCAGCTCCCGCACGTGGAGCAGCACGGGCCGGCCCGTCTTCGCGCAGTGGGGCTACCGCGCTATGTTGATGACGGCCCCGCCCGAGCCCGACCCGCCGAGGTCTACGACGGCCGGGTCGAGGAAGGGCCAGCCACCGGCCCAGAGGCTGGCGAAGGTGCCGAGCGGCCGCAGTACCGATCCGGCGAGGTGCCGCGGGTGGCCCGAGAACATGAACCCGCCTAGCCGGTCTATGACGGCGACCGCCTCGGACCGCGCCAGGTCGAGCCCCTGCTCGCCGCCGAGGACGAACTGGCGGTGCATCTCGTCGAGGCCCAGCTTGAAGAGCCGTGCGTAGGCGCACATGATCCGCGGGAAGACCTCGAGCGGCATCGACCGGAAGATGTGCACGAAGGACTCGTGCTCGACTAGGAAGAAGCGTATCATCTGGAAGATGGGGCGTATTACGGTCTTGAACGTCCGCTCTCCCGCCGTTATGCGTCGGACGTCCAACGAGACCACCTGCTCGAGGCGGAATGCTACCTCCTCGGCCTCGATAGCGACGTCCATCTACCGCCGCTCCCTTGCGAACGGCTTGGCCTCGTCGGGTCCGTGGAGAATGTACAGTAACCGCTCGCGCTTCTCCCGCGCCGCCGCCGTGGCCCTGGCGTCCGACGCCGGCACGGTTATGGCCGCCGTTGCATATCCCTTAGTAGCTAGCAGGTCGTGGGGGCTGTGGCGGATGCTGTGCTTGATATTGGAGTACCCCTGGAAGTAGCCGAAGGAGAGGACGTCCGCGCCCTCGTTCCGGTCGCTTATATTGCCCTTTATAGCGGTAAAGAGCGAGTTAAGGAACATAGGCGAGTAGTAGGAGGACACGTTACCGTATACCGGGTAGAAGGCCTGTAGATAAAAGGTAAAGTCCCGCGCGCTCGCGAACTCCCTCCCGAGCATATTCCTGTCGGCTAATAGGCACCGTGTCTCCGACAAGTCGGCATCGCCGCCCGTCGCCCTATCGCTATTGATATAGACGGCGAGTGCGTACGAGACGGCCGTGATGTTCCGCAGATAGAACCGGGTCTCGAGCTCGGATACTAGCTTCCTTAGGCCGTTATATTCGCATAGGATCCGCTCGTAGCGGGTATCCTCCGTACCGTCTGCGCGCCGGCCTCTTGCCGCTCCGCCTCTCTCCCGTGCGGTCGGCCGATCCCCTATGGATAACTCTTTTAGGCGGAGTATCTCCCTACCGGCGTCGTCGTCCCGCTCCCCTTCCTCCTTATCCCCCCCCTCCGCCTCGTTTTTATCGTCGTCCGTCTCCTTTATAGAGCAGTGCCTTTTGCGCGGTAGGTCGTAGAGCTCGTCGCTTACCTCGATCTTGATATTAGCGCTATAGTTATAAGCGTGGAAGGCCGGCTCGTGCTTTGCCTAGAACGACTTGTTACCCCCGCGGTGCGCCGACTAGGCCGCCTAGCCCGCTATGAACGCTTCCTGGAACGCCATCTACCGCGTGGAGCTGATCCGTTGGGTCTCCCGACCGCCCGGCCGCTACGAGCGCTCGACGCCCTCGCCTAGTAGCGCGGGTAGTTGGAAGATGTCGGTGATGTACGATGCTAGCTCGTACGCTAGCGGCACCGGTATGCCGCTCCGTTCGCCGGCCTGCTCCCGGCGCCTTTGCGCGTCGGCGGCCGATGACGGTAGCTCCGATACCTCCCCCGTTACCGGGTGTATGACGATGAACTAGATCTTGCGCGTGGCCGCCTGCGCGATTTTGAACGTCCGGCCTGTTATGTCGAAGGGGATCCTGTTGACGTGCTTTGCGCCGTACGGCGCCGACCACCGCTGGAAGGATATGGTGATGTTATCGAAGATGGGACCGTCGGGCCTCGAGATCGGTCGGCCCGGTCTGCCGACCACGCTGAAGAAGTCGAGGTAGAAGGACGGGTAGAAGCGGTCCGACGGCCTCGCCTGGGTGCCCCCCGCGCGGGCCGACCCGAAGTCGACGGTGTGCTTCTCTTGGATCATCTTGAGCGCGTCCGCGGGCTCAAAGTCCTCTGCGAGGGCTCTCTCGATGAATCGGGCGGCTGGCCACGTCGGTTAGCCCCCCGTCCTCCTCACTCGTCGGGTCTTGCTTATTTACCGTGGAGGCGGTGGTGACCCGTGGAGTGATCAACCGCCCACCTCTGTGATGTGCCGCCGGGTCTCCTTATACTCTCCTCGTTGCCCTCCTGATCCTCTTCCTCCTCTTCCTCCTCCTCTTCGCCTGCCTCGGTGGCATCCATCCATAGCATATCCTCGACGTCGTGAGACGAACTGGCGGACATCGTACTGGTGCTGCTACTAGTATACAGTCTGGAAGTAGTTACGTTGCCGGTGGGCTAGTCGATATCGGGCGTCGGACGGGACAGGAGAGGGGGGGTTCCCTGCCTATTTGTATGTATAGAACGCGCCTGTTACCGATTTGTAGGGTGGAGGGGGGCGACTCGGAGCGTATGTAAGAGGGTATTGGGGATATGTGTAGACGCCTCTGCGTAGCTAGATCTGTGCCGCTTCTGCCTTGTTGTTGTTATTGTGGGTAACGGAATGGGGGTGGGGAGGGAAGGATGGGCGAAAGAAGGACGCGGGCATGGGGCGTCGGGAGCTACGAGATGATCCTGCTTAACGGGGATAGAGAGAAGAAAAGCCCCCGGGGGCTTTGCAGGGGTAGTAATATATATGATATAACGTATCGTATCCGCCGTCTCTTTAGGCTGGACTATCCTGGCCCCGAACCCGATATGTTACTCGTATACGGTGCTATAATAATAGAGGTGGTGGAAAGAATGTATGAAATTGGACGGTAAGATACGATTATGATGTTCGGAATGGGCCCTACGGCGCTACGTATTGAATGTGCTATTGGATGAACTTAGTGGTATGATGATGATCTTTTGGTATTCCTGGGCCCGTCTATCCGTCTTCGACTTCCGTCCATGGCTGCGGACCAGCTATAACCTCCTCGCTCTAGGTCCTGTCTTCCACTGTGGCCTTGGCTTGTTGGTAGAGGCGCTCGGCGTCCGCGGGGGACCCGGCGTCGGCGACGTGGCCCCCACTCGCCGTTGCCCATCGCGCGACGGTCGCCGGGACGCTGGGGAGCTCGAGGGCGGGGTATGGCCGTCGGCGGCGGCGTCGTCGTCGTCGTCATGTGCCTGCGTCTCTCGGCCCCCGCCGCTGATAGAGGGTGTCTTCCCGTAGTCGCCACTCCGGACTTCCCTTGGCTTTTGGGCCGATGGCGGAGGCGGCCGGCGGAGGGGGCGTTGCTTCTCGGACCCTCGAACACGCCCGCGTGTGCCCTGCTCGCCGGCTCCAGCGTCGTCGTCGTATGCGTCGGTGCGCCGGTGTGGCCCGTCCCCGTCGAACGCCCCCCCCTCCCGCTCGAGTTCCGACTCCCTGCGCTCCCTCCCTTCCCTGGCCTCAGGCTCGGCTGGTCCGAGGAGCGGGAGACCTGGCAGCTCCCCGGCGGACGACGCGAGGGCCTGCTGGACTCTTCGCTGTAGTGCAAGGAGTGCGGCGTCGTTCGAGGTGACGGGCCGGTCGCCCAGACGGAACAGATCACTGCAGAAGGCGGACACGAGCGTGAGCATGCGCGCGCGGCCGCGGTCGTCGCTGGCGTTGGCCGTGTCCCAATCGGGCCGGAGGACGTAGGTCGTATGCTCCGGGTCGGTAATGCGCCGGGCGGTGCGGAGTAGTTGCGCCCAGGAGACGTGGCCAAAGCGTCTCCCGTACGCCGGCTCGTCGACGAGCATGATGCTGCTGGCGAGGAGCGCCCGTCCGTCCGGCGTCAGGAAAGCCTCGGCGCTATGTCGTGCGATGTCTAGGACGCGTCGTTGGAGCTGTGACGCCGCGTCTCTGGCATACGTGTACGTGCCCCCCCTGGAAGAGCCGAGGCTGTCGAGCGCGGTGCGTAGGTGGTCGATGAGCTGCGGCTTGTTCTTCGACTTTGGGTTCACCCTGTCGAGCTCCGCCGCGCTGCCAGGATGGATCCAGGCGACGACGTGGTGCAGCGCCCGGACGGCGGCCTCTGCCTCCGGTTTCCTGGCCCGGAGAAGGCGCCTCAGGTCGACGAACGTGAGGTCGTGCGAGTCCAGCACGGCCCGGCAGACCCTCCTGTACGCGTCGTCGTCGAGGGTCGAGAGCAGGCCCGCCGTGCGACGCCCGAGGTCGCCGCCGGTGAAGAAGACGGCTTCGGCGGCGTCCCGCTCGGCTGCTGGGGGGGACAATTCTCCCGCCGCGGCCAGCCGGTTCCAGTCGTCCAGTCCCACTTCCTGCGTCTCGTCGAGGGGCAGGGCGGCGAGCGTGGCCAGCGCGGACTCCATCGTCGAGAACCAGTATTCGTCGACGCGGAGGCTGGCCATCCACTCGAACGTCGAGATATTGAACGTCTCCAGGCCCAGCCGGGTCTGGCACCAGCGCGTCGTCATTCTCCGCCACCGCTCGTGGTTCCATAGCGTCACGAGCCTCCGCGTCGGGAAGCTCTTCTCGCCGCCCAGGCGCAGGGCCTCTACGAGCTTATGGTCGACGGTTACCTGGTTCTCCGCGGCGGGTTCGGCCGCGGCCGAGGCGACCGAGACGAGCTGTGTCCAGATCTGGCCGTGGTTGTCGGGTAGGCCCGGGTCCCTGCGGTTGATGCGCAGCTTGATGTTCAGGTCCGCGGGTAGTCGATCTGTCCCGGCTCCTTAGCGCCTCTCTCCCGCGGCCCTGCCCACTCACGGACGACGGGGGCGACTCACCTCTATCGTATAGCTCGCACGTCCACCAGCCGTCCAATGCCGGCGTACCCGTCGCCCGGATATAGGCCCGGAGGGCGCACAACCGGTATTAGCCGGCCATCACCTCCACCATCGTCCCGTTCACGGCGGCCCACTGCAGGAACGCAGCCTCCTCCTTTACGTCGTCGCCATCGTCATCGTTCTCGTTATTATCGGGGGGCTCCTACCCGCGGATCCGCCGGACCTCGTCCGCGCTACAGAGGACGAAGAGCCGGTTCTCGGGAGCCCCGCGTTCAAGGCCGCCCTTTATAAAGACCTCCGTAAGCTCCCGCACGTGGGCCGGCTCGACGCGACGGTTCTTACCCGTACTCCATATCGTCTCTAGTACGTCGACGTATAGCCTGCCTACCGCCAGTAGGTAAGGTTTAGCACGCTCCCGGATAGACTCGCTTTCTCGGAAGCCCTGGTCCTGGACGCGGCATTTCGGCGCCGGATCGCCTACTATAACCTCGTCGCCGCTTCTTTTACGCTTTATACCGTCCGCTACGCTATTATAGGCAGGGCGGGAGAGTCCTATGCTTCCTCTTTATCGTTACTATCGCCGTACAATCGATAGAGCAAAAAGGACGCGGGGATAGGAAGGAGATACGAAGGGTTTTGATAACTAGGTCGCGGCGCTAATCCGGGAAACGACCCGTAGGCTACCTTATCGTTACCCCTCCATGCTCCCTGGCGTTATCTATCGAAGAGTAATTGTCGTGTCTCGGACGCCGTGTCGCCGTCGCTCGCTCCTAAGGCGCAGGCCGCGCTGCCCATCCCAGGCGTGCCTCCCTTGCATATCCTTCCCTTTTACGACTGGTCATCGGGATTACTCACTCGATGCCAGCATTCCCGCTCATGTTGACGTTACGCGGAACCACCAGCATCTCCCTGCCGCAGTGGTGCAATGGGTCTAAGTCATGACTGCGGTGGAATGCACGGCGGACCGCACTCGTCCGCTGTCAATGGCGGACACCACTTGCTTTGGTGTAGGAGCAAAAGGCGGCCGTGGTGCACATCCCGCCGCCGCGAAGGCAAGCCCTCCTGCTCCCCGAAAGGATAGAGATCGACCCGGTGTGGCGGCATGAGGCTGCCCAGTGCCACTTTTAGGACGTGTGAGGGTGCCGCCGCAAGCCCCCGGGGGCTTCCGAGGGCATTTCCTCGCCATAACCAATCGTCTAGGCATACGAACGTACGGACGGCTTACTTCTGACTGAGCTAGTACGCTAAGGGGGAGTTCTAACGTCTGCTTTTTCCTGCTCAAGCGACGGAGGGCAGCTTCTCACGCCTGCTTTGCTTTCTTATCGGGAGCCCGACGTCACGATGGTATGGTAGCTAAGCATAATATGAAGCTTACTTACCTTGGCCTGATGCTCCCGTATGGTACAGGTTATCTACGATGAATCGACTCTAAGAGTCTCAGTGCCCCCGGATAGCACCTCGTAATAGTTACTATAGTAGTACGGAGTTCCTTAGTGCGCCGGGATAAGGTCGCCTGTCCCGCCTCTCTCTCAGCTGGATCCGTCTCAGGCTATAGTGGCTATAAATACCTTGATCTTGACTATCGCACGTCTGCCCGATACTCTGCCTGCTTGGGCCGGGAAAGGAGCCGAGGCTCCGGGCTGGAGGCGCGACGCGTCCCGGAGAAAGGATACCATAATAAAGAAGCGTAGTAGGCTAGTAGTACCCTCGAGGTACTCATATGTTATCATAGATCATAATATAGGGAGATAAATTGGTGGTATGACTTTGGAGGGAAGGAAAGATGGAAAAGGAAAGCAGTGCAGCAATCTGGGCACGTGGTGGATCACGTGGTGGAGTATCCGGCGGCTGCTGATGCACATGGAGCGATTGAGGTAGAGACGCCGCGGGCTACGGTGGACGAATGAGGGGTTCGATAGGTGAAAGAGATTAAGCAGTCCACTTTGCTATCCGCGCAGTAGGTGAGATAGGATAGATAATACAACCGTATGGCGAGTATCTTGATTACGGAATCGTTTCCCGATAACGAAGTAGTATATGACTATGGTATCACAAGAGTGTGTATGAGGCAGTCAATATGGAGGATAATTGAATGAGTGTATATTCCTCCTTGGTTGAGTTTCCGAGTACTAAGCCATGTTCGGCGTCTGAGGTCTACGGCCAGCGGAGGGAGCAAGACTTGGTCGTGTAAATGGGGTCAGGTAAGCGAGAATCTCCTGTTCTTCTAAGGTTTAGTAGAAGTAATAAGGAAACGACATAGTTATACCGGAAACAAATCATGCTGCCCTCTTCTTAAGGTATATTGGCGATGGTATAGAATAAAACCATTCCGTATATGTATATAAAGTATACATCTACTCTACCTACCTGGGCCGGTATGTCTATACTACGTGTCGCTTATATCTAGTCGATTATCACGGCGTTGGTCGTGATGCTGGACTACGTTCGTGATGACAGGCCGATTCTGGTTACCTAAGCAGCCCTGCTTACATAATAACACGGCCTACGAGTGTCCCCAGTACGTACCTCTGAGCTTTCCTTTATTTCCGTCTTCCTCAAGGACTGCCCCTACATACCTAATGTAGTACGACCTTTCCCTAAAGAAGAAAGACATAGGTCTAGCCTCACTTTCGAACGCGGAGGCTGGGCAACGAGACCCGTGGTCTATAGATTAGCTATTTAAAGCCGCGGCCCCAGCCCGCTCCTGTTCAGCATACGCGTTTAGGGAGACGCTTCCTCTCTTATTATCTCGCACGATATTTCACAAAGCTGCCTGATTCCCTACTATCTCTCGGATCTCCAAAGGCTACCCAGGAGCTCCAAGCCCTATTTTGCAACGATAGAGGTTCCTTTGTGCTGAAGGACCCTTGCACTTCTGTTCCGTACCTGCCGGTTCCGGCGATATTTGTTATCAATGCTACGACACCATATATACCGTCGCTATACCGCCTGGCCTCGTTTACTAAAGTATCAGGTAGATAGTACCTCCCTAACGTAGCATAGGCGGAAGTACTTCTAGCCGGCGCGGGAGGCGCCGCAGTTAAGAGCCTCGGCTTCTAAACATGGCCGTCAATAGTATAAAACAAAAAGTACTATCTACGACATAGACAGCGGCGATACCCTAATTCTTTGGCCCCGGCCCAAGAGGGGATCGCGCGGCTAGCCAAACCCCATCGTCATCGGCGATCTGCATTTTCTGTTTCCGACCTTATCCTTACTGCTTGTCCCTTGACTCACTAGCACATTCCAGTATCCCTTAATTCCGTTACTAGCATGGACGGCCATTCCGCCTAGTGTTCTTATTTCTCAACCTTATCTTAAGGAAATAGAACCCGAATTCCTCTCTTTACGTAGAGCTATCGTGCTAGGCCCTGCCCTCCTCGGTGAGTGACGATGTAGGTGGCTGCTGGGAACCGTCTGCCGGTAACTGACGGAGACACCGCCGCCACCACCACTGTCACTCGGATTACCTACTGTTGGGCAGCGATTATCAGGTAGGGGGTCAATGGGATGTATTGATGAGTATGAAGAACGAGTGGCTATGGGAATATCCCGACTATCTATATAGTGAGTGGAAGACCCTTTATACTGGCATATCCTTGGCAAACTTAGTCATGCTTGTGTAAGACCATATTGTTTCATAGGCATGGTGTGACAATCGTTGTAACGAGTGTACTGGGATGGGCCTGACACACCCCCCTAGGTTCAAGTCTTTGCTTGAAGCTATTCACACTTCTTCCTGGCCCAGCAGGTGTGTGATGTTAACAAGACGAAGTTGACGAACGAATTCTCGGTGTTTTTGTGCGTTCAGTGGTTTGGTTAGACCATCAGCGATAGTGCTATTGGTATCCATCCACTTGAAAGTGATGTCTCCTTTCCGACAGACTTGGCGAGCCCACAAATTCTGTATATCGATATGTTTCAGCCTGGAGGTTCTGTGGGGCTTTTCATCTGTCAGAAGACGAAGAGTTTGACTGTTGTCGCAGTAAATAGTAGGGAAACCGTCTGGTTGAATCTGGAGATTCTCCATTAACCTTATGGTTGCCATATACTCTCTTGTGGCTTGAGTGAGAGCAACTAGTTCTGCTTCCGTTGATGAGGTAACTACACAGGTCTTCTTTGTGGCTCTCCATTCAATAGGACCACCAAAGAGCATGGTGATATACCCCTGACTGCTTCGTCGTGTATTGAGGTCATCAGCAAATGCTGCGTCGGAAGAACAGCACAGTCTTCCGTCTGCTGACCCATCGTATTCAATTGCTAATCCCTTGGTTCGGGCAAGGTAGGCAAGACATCTGTCTGCCGCTTCCATGTGCGATGGACCAGGATTCTGAAGATATTCAGAGAGTCTTGATGTTGTATGTGATATATCGGGTCTGGCAATAACAGCTGCATAGTTGAGAGATCCAACCTTGCTCTGATATTCGATGATTGTCTGTTTTGACGCTTGACCATCGTATTTGACAAGTTGATCAAGTGCCA